TCACTCACCAGGTGATACAAGAGGTGCTTTCCCCAGTGCTCTCCATGAGCTGGGCAGAACAAAACACTGGGAACTACTGACACAGAATTGCTCACTTGAAAACCTCATCTCTAACAGAAGAGTGATTCTTTGATAACTGGCCCTGATCTGTGCAGTACTGTAATGAGATACTTTATCATTCCTCACACACGCTTTCTCTCTGTTTGATCAGTCCTGAACTAAATGCAAGAAGCCAGTGTTTCTTGGTCAGCTTTCTAATGGATATCCAAAATAGCTTACAAATAAAAGGGACATCCATTTAGCTCTAGAAAATCCATTCACAGACCTTTTGGGTTGAAGCAGTGTATACTTTTAACTTGTCTGTAGAGCTCTCCAACTTGAATCATGTACTAATCTGAAACACCTAAGTAACATTTTAAGATCTCTCATTTCTGCATTTTTCTTAGATTAGTCCTATCGTCTTCTATGGAATAAAGTTTATACCTTTATCCTCTAGCTGGGCAAACAGCCCTGGGCAATCTTTAACCAGTTGCTTTTGTGAAGGGATAGAGATTTTTTTAAGCTCCCTAAATCACTTATTTTAGATTTGGGCAGTAAGGTCCAGAATTTTAACATATTTCCCACATATTTTAGTACATGTTTCTGTGGTTATCTAAATCTTTCCATGGATTGAGCGCTTTTTGTGTGTTAATCTGACTCAACTGCTGATTTCAAGCTGTGGCTCAGGCTTTCCATACAGCCTTTAAAAAGACAAGAGGTATCAGTGAGCAAACCAGAGCAGGCAGTTTCCTCTAATCATCTATACTATCATCTGTGCTGGATCATGGCAGCAGTTGATCAATAGAGGAGTATTTAAATATGTTAGAGCCTGCATCTGATATTCTACATGTTTAACTGCATAAACAGATCAATGGGACAGAATTGATCTCCATTGATATTTGGCAGTTTTCAAATACAATTAAGCCACGTTTGGAGTACTGAAAGCACTTGAAATAAACAACTGGGCACTATTTATAATTTACAGAGCTACTCAAAAAATTTAATAGATCAAGCAGTTGTTTCAACAATGCCAGCGTCAAGGGAAAAGTTGAAATCCATATACTGTATATAAATAGCAAACTGAAATTAATGGCAAACTGAAATTCGATGTGTTCCTTAGCACATATTATTATATACAAATATCTCAGTATTTATGATGATAAGCTTGTACAATTAAATTGGCATTAGCTGATGTACATGAATGATTATGCCTGAGTGGAATCTGATATTGCATTATTTGATCAGTAGCGGCACAAACTCTACAAGAGCATAAATGCTGCCGTGGGTAACTGTCCCAGTGTGAGAAAGGTACCAGTTTATAAATGAGATGCTGATGACAGAATGGCAACTTTGGTTTTCCTGCATCCCATAAAACAGCAGAATGCAAGAGTTACACAGCTGTTTGGAGGATTTGTTGACCACTGTTGGCTGTAACCACACGGTCTTTGACAGGGCTCCAGCAATTCCCTGTATTCCAAAGCACTTCCATGATTTGACACCAGACATCTCTATTGTCCCTTCCAATAGCCTGAATGCAGGCTCACAGAGCTAGATACTGAAAGTCATAAGGCAGACAAGTGCCTGCAGGTTTTCTCCCTGGAAATTTCATCTGAGTCACACCAATGCTCACCAGAATATTCCTTTTGGGGAATAAGATATATTGGCCATTCTGGTCTCCCTCTGGAGAAAAGCAATACAGTTTTGAAAAGCAATACAGAAGCTGTCATAGTGAAACCTAATGTGAGAGTTGTGGATTTGATCCAGAACATACAAGACGATTAGGAGGTTTACTTTCTAAAGAATTCTTTGCTAAGAAAGGCTTATGGTTTAAATCTATGTGAAATGTGTAAAAGAAATGTGGATATGTAACACTGTTCTGCTATAAACTTTATTCTGACAATGTTCTGAAACACATGTAAGTAGTAACAAAAGGTTTTACTTTCCCAGAAAAATAATTCCATCCATCTCTGCTTATGTCCATATCCTGAAAAGGTGGGAAAGTGATTGCCATGCATACTGTTCTCCTAAACCAATGAAGTGAATACGTGAAAAATAAGGCTTTTTTATTATGAGGATTGAGAAGAGGAAAGGAAAGCAAGCTCCTTTTGTCTTGGGAGAAGGAGCTGTTAGGAAGCAGAGACAGTACAGATTCCTCGTGTATATCTATCAGCCATGAGACATTACAGTCCTTGACTCTTCAAGTCCCCCTGAGCCCCTCCTAGCCTACAGAGGTTTCAGAACACCTGCATATGAGTGTACAAACTTCTACTGAAAGCATATACATATCCTTCTCAACAGAACTGCTTTTCCTGTTAACACTAGAAATATTTTTACCTAAGAGTATCTTACAGGGTAAGATTAAGAGGATACATTCAGTATTAAACTCTCCAGTGTTTTGGTAGCCATAAGTAATCCCCTCAACCAATGTATGTTGCACAGAGCAGTGCAATGAAAACTGTACAACAGGAACACTTTGGCAGTTTACCTGGAGAGACATGGTGATGACTTATAGTACACCCTGAATAATATTTCTTCTCTGTGCTTTATCTAGACCAATAAATGCTTATGCTTCTAGATGCAGGAAGAGCTGTTTGTTCTGTTCAGCTGACATCCCATTACAAAGAAAATAAAGTAAACATATCAGAATTAGTCCCCTAAAGCTTCCATCAAGCCTTCTGCCATGAGCACTTTGCTGTTGTTTTTGTTTTTTCCCTTTGCCAGCTTTTGGCAGTCAAGGGCAATCTATCTTTGGGAGAGAGAATACCATCACTCTTCTTCCCCAGAATGTATAATCCAAGAACTAAAAATAGTGGCCATCCAGAACAACATCTGAGAGCTGCATAATAAATAAGTAGTCAAAATTGTTGAAAAAACCTTCTTTAGCTGGCAAGCAGTGCAATACACTTAAATAGAAAATATTGCAGTGAGCAATTATAGGATAACTAATTGAAAGAAAGAGTTACTACCTAACCCTACTCAATGGTGGTGTGTTTAAATGCTAAACTGAGTTTATGAATAAATGCAGTCTTCCCAGGATAACTGTGAGGAATTATCTGACTTCTTTAGTTGTGCTGCATAAAAATAATATTCTAGTTTAATTGTTCATTGTCAAAAGGTAAAGAAAGACTTGTCACCACCAAGAAAATACATTTGATTTATTCTGGAATGACAGTCAAGCAATGGCTTTAGGACCTACTGGAAATGCAAACCTTCTAACAGCATTCAGACAAACTCCTGTTTTCAGCTGATCATTACTACTTCTGACCTTTTAAATCCTCTGCTGCTAAGGGAGAATCTAGTCTTTACAGAAAAGCTGTTCTGTATTCCATTCATAGACAGTGGAGAACTTAACTGTATTTACTGGTATTTAACATATGGAGCATATTTGCCTGGAAGGTAGATGAAATCTCCCACATTTAAGATCAAATCAATTTGAATTTAAGGTCACATTTGCAGAAGTCGATGTTCCATAAAATCAAAGAAAAGCTTAATTCTACTATTTTTTTTTCTCTACCGATCAACTGAGTAGTTTCCAATAGCACAGTTCTGCAGCCTTTCTCCCTTTCTGTCCTTACTCACGCAAATATTCATGTGGGAGCCAGTGACATGACTTCAATCTGACTCACCTGAGTGGAGCTGCAAGTGTTTAGGTCCAAGACAAACATGAACTGTATCCTGCAAACTTCTTATTCTTGCTTTCACAGCCTTGACCACATTACTGAGACTACTCACACAGCTATCCTACCTTACTGCTAAGAATCAAACTTATTTTTTTTGTAAGATGAGATATACCCAATTTGAACCATGTAGTTCATGTGCTTTCAGGACTAGACAGAGAAAATAGGTTCATGTGATTTCAAGGTGAAAGTGTGTATATCTTCATTCATAAGCAAGTGCTGCTACTTCAAAGGAGAGGAGATTTGCAGGAATCAATGATCTGCAATATCTTTTTGCTTAAGGTGTAATTGCCATCTAACAGCACTTAGGGATTTTGCTATTGCAGAGGTCCAAAATACAACTTTCTGGTTGGGAGGTTTCTAATATTGGAACACTGTCTTTGCACACTGCTAACAATCAGCCTTTCCCACTGAAAGTCTAAACAGGAAAAGAGAGAATAGGAGCTGTACTTGATTTCCACTTCCAGCTTCTTTGTGAAAGTGAGATACAGCAGGTCTGAAAAAGGCACTTATGTTGTTAATACTAATATTTCTTTATTGCTCTTTAAGAGAAAGTATTGATTACTTACTCTTAAGGAAATCATGAAAATATATAGTCAAAGAGGAATGGAAAAAAAAGAAAATGCAGCATTAAGTGCTTTCTTATGGCCTAAAAGAAGGACTTCTTTTAACACAAAATAGAGCAGAAAAGTGGGAAGAACTCACATTTATTACTGGATTTAAAGTGACATACTGCACAAGGGGTAGCCAACTGGAATGTGTCTAGCAGCATCTCTGATGAAAAGCTGTCAGCCACTTGGGCAAATGGTTTTGAAAGATAAATAAGAATGTGATAAAACTTCTTTATTATCACTGTATTACTAACTGCTTTGGGGAAAATTTATCAGAAATATCTTACTAGCTGCTACTACTTGGACCTTAAGTAAACATGTGGCAAATTGTGATTCCTCTCTGTATTTCATAATGGTTGTTGCTAAGCTGACAAACTGCTCCTAACCTCTTGCTGCCTACCAGGATTTGGACCTGTGTTTCCATATGGTTACAGGGACAAATTCATCTTGGATGTAAGTGAGCACAGTTCTACTGAAGTCAACCAAGATTCTTTCTCCTGTAGCAAGGCTTAATTTGGTCCTAGGTGTTTAGATCACTAAGCAATGCCCTCTAGCTTAGCAACTCTTCAGCTGAAAGAACTTTCTGACTGTGACTGCCAATACTCTTTTTACCTTGGTAGCTGAAAAAGTAGTAAGTGCATTTAAGTGTTTCATGAACTGCTTCACAGGTGAAGGGAGACAGCCTATTTCATTCTGAAAGCATCTCTCACCATTCAAAGGAAGAAGAGGAAGTCTAAGTGAATAAAAGGTTAGTGTATTTTTGTACCTTTTGCATCAAAAACAAAAGAGTTTGGACCATTAGACATGAGAGAAACCTTCATAACTGGTTTCCCTAAAGCACTCATTCAGGTTTGAATCAACAGACCTTGTAAGCCTCTGACATATAGACTGACCTGAGGGTGGCGAATGAAATCAGGATGTAAATGTGCCAATTAATTTGGAAAGCCATCCTGATAGACAATATCTTTAAAGAAAGTTTGATTCTAATCTTAGGCCAGTGTAAATCTAGAGTGATGTCAGTGAAATCAAAAAAGCATCTTCTATATATTGGTTGTAGCCTAAACCAGAATTTGGCATGGAATTAGTCATTCATCCCGGACAAGCTTTGGTAATTCCAGTCACAGCTCTCTGAAGGGAACTTACATATTGAATACTAAATATTTTCAGAGCATCATCATTTAAAAAAAAAAAAAAAAAAAAGAATTAACAATTCTGTTTAACTACTTCAGTGTTCTGCTACAAAATATTTTTTGAAGAAATTTTGAAGAAATTTTGGTAGTACTTACCAGGAAGGGAAATAGAAACAGTAATGTGTACAGATCTGATTAGTAGGATTATTGTAAGACCTGTTGTATTCTACAGGGCAGTCAGGACACCAGGAAGCAAAGTAACATGATCTCCACAGCAGAATGGTGGCAGTGAGCCATCCATCATTTTGATCTATTTTACATTAAGAGATTAGCAAGTCCGGGAAAAAGTATAGAACAGAAATACTTTATCCTTCTTCCTGAGAAATGGGTCATCTGTGAGTCCCAGGCAACTCTGTAGATCAAAATAAGAGATGCCGTTGTATTCTGCTGCTTTTCTCCTTCCCTCCCATCCCACTGACGCAGAAGCAGAGTGAGCCTGTCTGCTCACTTCCTGTAACAAAGGTAAGCAAACGAGACGAGTGCAAAGGTGTCTCCTTTGTATGGAACTACAACACAGAGGAATGTGAGCAGGTAGCTCTTATCCTTCCAGTCCCATTTCCTGATGCAGGATTTAACAGTTTTAATAGAAGACATACTGACAGCAAACCCATAGCCAACACATAATTTAAATAATTCCTGACTAGTGAAATGATAATTTTAGGAGATATTGAGTGAATTGGAAGTTGTGGAGTCCCATTGAAACATAATATTGATTCAATGTCTTTAAATTTGCTAGAGGCAGTAACTAGCACTTGTATTCACTTATTTACTCTTGCCAAGTTATTTATTATTGACCAGAAGTAGGTCTGGATGAGAGCTGTTAAAACAGAAGTGCCAGGTACTGACTGGAACTGAATGCAGAAGAAAATGGTTGGAGTGGAACCTAACACAGATCTGGCTGTAGTTGAGGCTGTTTAAACACATTTTTTTCCAAGTCTCTCTATTTTCTAACTCTTGTTCTGCTGCTTCTGAAAATAGTCTCCACATAAGAATAATTTTTCAAACATAACTCAGATTGCAGTGTCTTACCCAAAGCCACTCCAAGTGACCTAACAGTAATGATAGCCCACAGAAGAAGGCTTTTGTCTTGCTTACGTGCATCATTGGTGAAGATGTCAGAAAAAGAAGGCAGAGATGGTTGTTACCATATTTTGAGCAAGAGTTGCTCCATTTTTAAAATTACTATGAAGCTATGCTGTTTAGTGTAGAGGAAATGTTTGGGAATCTTAGCTCCTTGGCTGCCTTTAGCATAGCCACTTGTGTGGGTTCACTTGCTTGGTCTACCAAGGATCTAACTTAAACTGCCATAACTGAGTTTTCCACTCACTACTCTGAGGGTTAGTGCTAGCTGATCCTATTCAAACCTACTAAAATCCTAGCAAGTCTTTTAGATTTGATGGCTGCCACCTCTGTTTCTCTGGCATTCCCAGACACAACTAAACATTAGGTCTGGATTTTCTAATTCATCTCTTTTCTTAGGAAAATGCTGCTGGGAAATTTAAGATCTGATCCTGTAAATTCTGTTTCACATGAGCAATCTCACTGCAGATTAAAGACTAATCATAGAAGGATTTGGAGGATTGGGTCCTTTGATTTCTCTTCATGTTAAGGCCCTTTTTTATCTGGATCATCCCACTGATTATCCTTCTCCATTTTTATATAGGGCTTTAGGAATAATTAGAAGGAAATAAGATTTTCCAACTTTAGAGTTTAATCAGTAACACATGTACTTTGAAAAGTTATATTTTTACATGACAAAGAATGCATCATCCAAAACAAATACCTCCAGGGTATTTGGACTTGCTTCTAATTGACAGCTTGGACACTGTCACAACTGTGTCATTTCTCTTTGTTCTGACTCACAGACACAGTGAACGTTTGATAGATGTTACCTTTTTAATTCTTGATAACATTATGAAAATGTTAAGAAATGCAGCAGCAGATAACCTTTCTAGACCCAATAGCAGCATTAACCATGTGAAGTTAATAACTGACCACAGGTCATTTACTTAATTTAACTTAAAAAAAGTTTTGCTCACACTGCTCAAACTTTCCCTTCATTTTTATCTCCTTTTCTCCAAGGCCACAGATAAGCTTTACCTCTTACTTACTTGCAGGTCAGCTTTTCCATGAGACTCAGGTCTGCTTACAACCAAAACCAAATATTTATGGGCATGTGGGTATGAAACACCATAATGATAAATGCATGATAGTACACCAGAATGAAAGATTTCAAGAGAACAATGTTTGCTGTCTGAGCTGCACATTTACTTAGTCTGTGTAGCAAACAGCAGGGACTTTGATATAAATCAGATGAAGTGTTTTTGAATGAATAAGTCTATACTCTGAAGTATGACTTCAGGGATCAGGACATACGAGAGCACAGGTGTCATTTTGCAATGAAAGCCACACTAATGCTTTCTGTGCATGTCTAAAAACACTTTGTTTCAAGGTTGTGCTTCAGAGAGGATATAGCTCTGAAGGTTTCTTTTAAAAGAATGAAGTGCTAAATAATGGATTAAAGGCTAAAAAAAGGATTTGAAAGGCCTTCACCATATTCTTTGTACATTTCTGTTATACATTTTACCCCTCAGAAACATATTTACAGACTGTATTTAAATTTGAAGCATGTCATGGCATTGCATGTACTCAGACTGATCAGGCATCAGGCAGTATTGGAAAATTTGGTGTTTAACCTTCAATTATTACAGAGAAATTTGTTTTGACAAATAAATGTAGTTTGAGTTGCTTTAGGTTCTTACTGGCTTTGCATATTTGCATATATATATGTATATTTGTATATATTTGTATATATACATATATATGTATGTATACAGACTCCTAACTTTATAATTTCTCTTCCAAAATCCTTATCAAATAAAGCAGATGCTTGGTTTTAGGTGTGTTAGTAATCATACTAATTTTATCCTTAAACTCTATGTAAAACTGAGGGCATAGTGAACTCTTATGAAACTTACAGTAAGTCCTGCAAAAATGTAAACATATTCTTTGCCCTGTGCACATAAGTAATGAATGTGACTACCAGTGCTTAAAGTAAACATTTTTGCTGGATGAGAATCTAAGTAGAAAATATCTTGATCATTTTTTCTGTACTTTGAAGGGATAAATTTTTTAAGTCATGTTGTAATTCTGTTCTATTTTTCAAGTAAATATTAGAGACAGAATCTGTATCTAAAAGCAAACATTGTTTTACTGATTTTCCAGCTTGTTCCATAAGACCACAGCCATTCTTACAACAAGATGAGTGACACTGTTCAATCGTTTAAATTTTTGTAAAGTTCAAAGTACAACAGAAACAGGAGAGCTGGGGAAAATGACCATTTTACTCGTATAAGATAGTTGCTAGCAGTTACTAACAGGGTTGGAATGGTTCGAGCACGTTTACATTTCTTTAGTGAAATGAGATTGGAGCTGATATCAATTCTCATTGTCAGTGTTGAAGTGCTTAGCATTTTCAGTTGTTGTTCTTTTATTTTACTTGGCACTATTTATATTTTAACCTCAAAAATGAACAACTTTCCTCTTGTTTAGCAGATCTGATTTACACTGTACATAGAGCTATGGCATCATTGGAGATGTGCTTCATTGTGGTGACGTACTACATCTGTTCACATCAGAAGATCATTTAATCACTTGTAATGTTTTCCCCTTATCTAGGCCAGGGTTTTGTAAGGGTAGAGTTCTGCTAATGCACACTCCTGCCGGGAAGCTTCCCAAGGTGGGGCACAAAAGATGCTAAGTGGCAGGAGGAGGATGAGTAGAAGCCATTAACTTTCCCCCAGCAAGGTCAGATTTGATGCTTCCTTTGTTTGTAGTATCCAAATTAAGAAGATGCTTCTGTGCTCTCAGTGCTGCTTCTATGTAAACATACTCCTGGGTAATCTCAGGCTGGTCACATCTCCTTACTATTAGCTACCCATTAACAAGCTGATTGAAAAGGACCCAGCACAGTTTACACAAAGCACCAGCTATTTTCCAGGAAGACCAAATTTCTCCTGGGCTTCATCAACACTTCAGACTATCAATATACAGAATAAAACACTCTTGTTCTGAAAGACTATGATCACAGGAGAAACCTCTGCGTTCTCTCTTCTGTTTTTATTGCAAACATGTTTGGGAGAAAAGGTGTTATCTTGCTTTTTATTTTTTTTCCTGAAGCCAGTATTACTAGCCATTTTACTTCTACTTTACTATTATTATCTAGGTGATGGCTGTGACATGTTGATCATATATGGCAGTGAGAAAATTGATTTCCCTCAACAAAAATGCTTCCAATTTTCCCTGGGCCATAATTTTATGTCCACAACAAAATAAAAGGGTCATTTTCCTTAAGATGGGGGAATTGAAATCTTTGATAAAAGCCATAGTAAATGTTGTACTTTTGATTGCAGAAACTGCAGTTTTCACAAACACCTCTTCTGTCTGTACTGTGCGTATGTGGGTTTCTGGGGAGTAAGTGAAAGAAGGAAAGAGAGAAAGAAGGTAAAAAACAGCTTTAGGAAAGGCTGAGGTCACTTTAGGAACATCTGAAAATCTGAAGCTTTTTGGACACTAACATTTTTTTCCTGGGAAAACTTTTGGACTTTATTGCTTACTTCCAGTCAAGCTTCTCCTTTTCAAAAATGACTAATCAGTGCCATACTTCTTAACCACCTGTTTTTACATTTGTTTGCCTTTCTGCATGTTCTGCATGTTTGTAAACAAATGTTGGAAAATGTTAAGATTAATAGTTTAGTAGGCCAATGTAAAAAGATAGTACATCAATTAAATATATATGCATATATATATTTCAATTAAATATATATGTGTATATATATATATATATACGTATTAAAAACTTTTTTTGTTTTGTGGGTTTTGGTGTTTGGTTGTTTTTAGGCTTTTTTTGTTTTGTTTTTATTTTGTTTTTGTTTTCCTGAAGGAGGATCTCTTCTGTCTTCAAATAATCACATTTCTATATTGATTAGATCACCAATTCTGGCAAAAAACAAGTTACTGGCTGGAGAGATTGAAAACTACTTAAGGTTGATTCTGCTGTCCAACAATTTCTTTGAACATATAATAGAAATTTTTGGAAATGTTTATTTCATCTTTGGCTTTTCACATTGAAGTCAGGGAAGTCAGTTGGCTGACCAAACAGTTCAACTCTATTTCAGAATGTTTTTACACAGGTTGGATTTGTTCAGCAGTCTGGACAAAAATTTATGCTGAATCCTGAAATACTCAAGAAATCCTGAAAACTGACCTTTCAGTACTCTGCTACATTGATCTTTCACGGCCATGGTCCCATGTGTCAATGTAAGACAAGAGGTAATGTCTCACTAGAAGGCTTTTTCTCTACATAACTCACTTCTACAAGATGAGAGGTGCTTATAATTATCTTCATCTCAGTTTGGTTTGTGGAGTGGCAGGGGAGATGTACCCAATCAATGATGTGTTTCCAAGGTTCACAGCAAAGGAAAGAAACCAAGGGCCAACAATCCTCTCCATGTGAGACTGATCCAAGTCCAGTGCCCAGAACAAGACCTAAAGAATCACCATTATTGTGACTGAAACACATTATCAGACACACATGAACTTTTCTCTTGCTCTCATATGTGAGAATTTACTCTGTTTGATGGCCTGATTTCTTAAATATGGCTGCATTTTTTTCATACATATATGATACAACATCCCTTTGGAAACTGGCGAAAATCAAAGTTGCTGATATTCCTTAAAGGAGATATTTTCTCTGCTTACAGGCAATATGTGCAGAAATCCATCATATAGGGACCACAGGAGTACAAAGGTTAATTAAGATGCTAACATCTAAAAAGAATTGTGGTTTGAAAGTCTGACCATTCTTGCATGTTACATATGTATTGTTTGCAACATCCAGAAGTTGTGCATCTGATAGAAGAGTTAATCCCATGGCATCTTTGATTATTTAATCTGTAATCAGAGAGGAAAGAGGTGGAGGTGAGATGTGACTGATATGCTGTGTTCATTTCATTGGTACCATAAGCAGGAGGCAGTAAAACATAAAACAAGGATAAAGAAAAAAAATTCACAGCAGATTTTTTGAGACAGCAATTTTCACAGTATCAACAAAAGTAATTGTTCTTTCTTTTTTACTTGGATGGTATTTTCTGATTAATAGCCTATTACTAAAATCATATTTCTCAACATTTTCTTGAAAATTAGAGATTGGATTACATCAAGTAGTAAAAAACAAAAAGAAAGATCGAACCTTTTACATGGCTACTGGTGGAAGAGCACGGTGTGAGGATTTTTGTACTTTGACTTCCATGCATGGTATGTTAGAGAACAGAAGTGGCCAGTTGTGAGAGTTTGGGTTTCTGCTGCTGATTTTTGCTTTTTTTTTTTACTGAGGCACAGCACACACATTCCCCCATGCATTTTCACATGCTGAGCTAGTACAAAACTACAGAGCCAAGGGAAATACATCTTATGGGAGAACAGAATTCTACATTATGTGTAGTAGTGTTGGGAAACAGCATGTGCAATCAAGAAGCAAGAATCACTTTCTGTTGGAGTGAGCAATAAAGGAAAGTAGATCAGTTTAATATGACGTAATGTCTCATCAAACGGAGAGGAAGCACGAAAATGAGGACTTAAGAGGCAGAAACAGATGCTAGAACGAGGCCTTTCATTTAGTTCCTAGAATAGATGCACTCTTGAGCTTTCCTCTTAACCATAACTTCAGGAAATAGTGTAAGAAAGGAAAAGTTTGAGGTGACACTGATATCAGCAGTGACAACACTGGTGACTGTTGCCATTCTCGCTCAAGAGAGTAAAGACTCAAACCCACTGAAAGGCTCCTGGATAGCCAGTGGCAGCCAGATTTGATTCCAGCTGAACTCAGAGACTGACAAATGTGTTGTATATGGGCTGTGTTTTGCCTCTCTTGGTTAACCATCTGGAAATGTGAATTGGAAATGTGAATTGTGGTACACCGGGAGCAATCACCCATTACAGCTGAGAGTGGATGATGGGAAATGAGATGGGAAAAGGGAGCACAGGGTGTCTGCTGGGATTCTGAAAACGGCCTGAAAAAAAAAAACAACACAGAGGAGCAAGGGAGGGTTGGAAATCTTAGGGTTATGTGATTATATGTAGTTCACATTCCCTATCCTACTGTATCCCCAAAAACTTTTAAGGGAGTTTCATCTTTTCTTGCTATGAAAGTACAAAACATTTTGGGACATCAGATAATATTCTGAAATGGTTTTCAGTACTGAGTAGGCCGGGATCTACCAACAGTCACACCTGATGTTTTCACATAATTCTGTTCACTTCAATACGTTTAGGAGACCCTAATTTCTCTCTCCAACATTTTTTTCATCAGAGTGAGAAATGTTTTATTAAGAATCAAATCCACGTCTACATCTCATTAGTTTGAGAATTCTGTGAGCAGACACAATGGATGCTGCCTCAATAGAATCTGCAGAGATTTTCAACTTCTCAAGAGTGACAGATAATGGCAAATCCTAATTGCTTTTTACCAAAACCAAAGCTAGACAGCACTCCAAACAGACACATTTATCTTTGGATTTTAAGTAAAAATTCTTAGATCCCTACAATGGTGGATTTCACCCAGAAAGTTATAAGTAAGAGATTAGTCATAAACAAAGACATTATTAAATATATATATATATATCACCCTTTTACTATATAAATAAGAAAACATAATTTTTTTGTGTATTGAATCATGGTTTTGTATGATCACAGGTTTATATACTAAGTGTGGACCAACATAGAGTGGAGCACAGCCATGTCAACAATTTCCTTTGTACCTCAACTAATCATATCCATTAGGTTACTAAGCCCTTACTGCCGATGGACCAGTGTAAATGGGATGTAATGGAAGAGCAACTTTAACCCCACAGCAGTAACAAAGTTATACCTATGTCTCTGTATCCTGCTATGATGCTACAAACTGTATTCTGTTTCCTGCTCATCCATTTTAAACAGTGTAGAATGTGGTACCATTTGTAAGAATAAGCCTTTATTTCTTTCATAATTTTTACCTGATTCTGCTTGCTTTCTCTCCTCAGCCATATTTCATAATTCTGTACTATCAGACTTCGTGAAATATCACTGCATATTATCCTCAGATAATTATCAGATGGCAAGTAAAATTTCATATTTTCATTTAAGGAGCTTACAGTGGTGTCCTAACATCAGGTACATATTTTCATACAAGAGAGCAGTCTGTTCAGTCGTCACCTAAATTCACAGCTAGAGGTTGGAACCAAAACCATTTCAGCAACATCTTTTACTCTTCTTTTTCAATGGGTAACAGGCCTCAGAAAGTATTATAAGTGATTTGGCACTTCAACATGCAATAGACATAGAGTAAGATGTTCAAAACCACTACTTATCTAATTTGCATTGACTGAAGATCCCATGAGGCACCTAAATACTTCTGGACAACCTTACTGTGTCAATTCATAAAGCTCACATAACTTCCTCTTTCTCACATTGTGCGCACTCTTCACCATGTGAAATATTACAAATTCCTGTTCCCTTAATTAAGAGGCTAATTGTACTCATAAACAATTTTTAGCAATTATGGGAAACCTGTCTACACATTGCTTTTTTTTCTTGTAACATTCATTGCAGTTCTCTGCCGCCATCCTGCTGCAGAGCATGTGATCAGATTCAGATCAAAACAGTGTGATGCAACAAGCTGAATTTCCTGACTGACCTTCAGCTCTCTTGCTCAGTAGTAATATGCAGCTTTGTGTTCTGTTAAGTAAAAGTCACAAAGAGGAGCCAAGTGATTTCTTCACTCTTTTGCAGAAACAACTTCTTTATCTGAGAAATTCTTTTGCTCGTCTCCACTGGAGATGGGATTGTTTGTTGTATTGACTGCACATCATTGGGGCTGGGTTTTAACAAATACGACAATTTATCTGTATCAAGGATTGAGGAAGAGGAGGTAGTTTTGAAACATTAAATACCTTTGCAATCATTTTTTTCTTTCTTTTTTTTTTTTTTTTTTAGTGCTATATCTCAGCATGACTGTATCCTGCAGTGGAAAATTACCACCCATTCAGAAATGTGCCTTGTTGCATTAGTCATATGTTTGCAGATGCAAAGCTCTATCTGCAGAACAAAGGCATATTCAAAAAATGACCTTTATCTCAACACTTTATAGCAGCGTTTTCAACTTATTATAATCAAGTTATGCTTTTAAAACTAATCTTTTTGCTTTTTAACTTGTATAATAATCACACATCTTCATTAAAAGGGGATATTACAGATGCTGTCTATCTGAATTTGTTTCTAGCAGTTTATGATTTAGTCTCTTAATGAATGAATGCTTTCACAGCACCAGATGACAAAATTTGCCACCTCCTCCTCTTTTTCACAAAGGTTTCCTGGGACAGCGTTTTCAGCAAATTGTTTTCTTAGACCAAATGCAGAGAGACACATTCCTCAGCAGCTCTGTGTGCAAGATGCAAAAGGTAAGAGGATCAGGCTGCACCTACCCTTTCTGGAGGGGTGATTGTTAAGAATTTCTCTCGCAATATGCACTCGGATCCACATTAGAAACAGTCAGAGGCTTTTAAGGGTAGAAAATCTCAGGACAGTGTACAAAATCAGAGCCAGGGTCATGACCTTGACTATTGATCCAGCCTCTCTTATTTCCACAGCTTGCTGAGGCTTGTTCTTCCAACCTGCTGGTGTACATTAGAGCAGAAATCCATAACATGGCCATGTTCATCCAAGCACAGGAAGAAACTAAATTAAATGTTAAAAAACAATCTGAGACTAGAGTTGGAGACAATTCATCATGATCCTAGACGTCAGGCAGGTAGGATGACCAAGAGTTCCTCAGCCAATAGACCCAAACAGAATATGGAGGGACCTCGCTGCCTCATTTGTCAGGTACACAGGAGGTAGTCGGAAAAGCACCAAGGAAAAAAAAGTCTACTGAAGGTCAGTGTTTTAATTCCCAACCATGCACAAAAAAATCATCTGCTGGAATACAATCTATAATTGAGGTTTAGAGCAAAAAGTGAGGGAGATAAAAAAAATTATCTGAAGTTAATATATTAATAGCAAGAATTAGGAGGAAAAAAAGCTTTGCATGGAAGTGTACTAATAAGTGACAACTGAGTTCTTACAAATCTGGAACTCAAGATCAGGTGAGAGAATTTGAGCACCAACTTTGGTAGCCTATTAAGAGTCTGTTTTTTCACTTTCAAAAGGTATCTTAGTGGAGTGCTAACCTTTCTTCTTGATGAAAGGGTTTAAAGGTATATAATCTGTGATGCAGAGAATGAACTCAGCATGTTAAATAAGAGAAAGATTCTGTAGGCTTGTTGAACTGTTTAGAAACTGCCCTTTGCTGCTTCTCAAGCGGATTTTGTTTGTACTGGACACAGGACACATGTGCTCTATATACTCATCCAGAGCATGTAACCTAAAGGATACTTCTCGGATTTTTTTTTCTGCTGGGAGCTACAAAGCATACATACCTTGAAAGTACTGTGCAAATATTACAGTAATTGAAAATAGTCACAAACCCCTCTGCAGTCAGCACAGCTGCTGTTCTAATTTAGCTATCTTGTGAAAAGAAGCATTTGCCAGTTTTGTGAACATGAATTGCATTTCCTGTTGTGGCTGAATTGTGTTCTCTCTCAAACCATTGATAAGCAGGTATCTGAGCTGAAAATAGTCTACTGCCCTTTAATTTTATTCCTAAGTTTTGTTACATTATTTGTGTGTTATCAGCATGTGCTGTTAAACCTCATCATGCTGAGTGCCAATCTGATGAAACATAATAAGACATAACACAGTTTGACAGCTAATATTTAAAGAAGAAATCTTATCTCTCACTATCTAAATAGCAAAGGGCTCCCATTCAGACACTTAGAGATTCTGAGTGGATATCTAGAGAGAACAGTTAACCCAAGCTTTCTTGGTATGATTCTCAGACAGAGTGCAGCTTTGTATATTTATAAGTGTAAAACAAAATGCATCCTCACTGGTCATTAAATTCATGCTGAACAACTTCTGTACTGCTTTTTCAATTTGTAGTACTCTAAGATTACGTAAGAAATATGAAAGAACTGATGGAACTTTGTTCCCCCAACTTCTTTTACCAAGCACTCTGTAATATTTGAATCAAAACATGTATTTTGCAAGGCACTGATAAATCTGAATTATTTAACAAAGATGGGAAAGATGTGATATGTCCCAAGTGCAGTAATTTGCTGAACACAAATTCCTGGAGGCTGTGCATCGTGCTTTGCTCTAGTTTCTTGTCTGGCTCTTTTCCAGTAAGTCCAGGATGGCTGCAATTCCATTTATCTGTGTTATTACTACTCGCTATTTACATAGCCAGAACCAAGTACTTGGCAGTTTTTATACAGTTAGAAGATCTGTATCCCACTCCTAAGGGTTTATGCTTTGCCATGTTATCCACAAACGCCTCAATTTCTGGGTTATGTTCATCCATCATTGCCTTAAATTATATCACTTAAAGCTCACAGTTAATGCTGTGTGTCAGTAATTTCAACATAAAGAAAAAGATATGGATATTTATGGATAAATATGGTCAATACCTTGGGTTCACCACTTGAAAAATTGAAGCATTTCAAATTACGTGTCTTATTTGGAAAGTTCTAGTTGTACAAATGTTTTAAATTGTAGAATTTGAAAGTAATCAGCTTGAAAGGAACTTCAGCACTAACGAAAAGATCCCAAAGCAGATTTTCTTTTCTGAACATAAGGGATCAACTTTATACCTAGCATCATCAAGCACGCTGTCACATGTCCATACATCTACTATGACTGAATTGCAGAAATACCTTGGGTGCAGACTGAACAATTTGCTTGCCTGTGTGTGCAAATTCTGATATTCTGTGTCCAGATGGTAAAATGTAGCAAGGTCACTGCCCACCCAGTACACCACTGAGAGAAGAGATGACAGCATGCCACCTCCTTGCAGTGCCTACTGCAGTGCTCACACCTGTCCCAGCCAGCATGCACACACAAATGTCCATCATGCAATAAAGGTGAATCCTTTGAAAAAGTAGAAACAAACAGCAAAGCCAATTCTCAGCTCAACCAGGTAGGATCTGTCCTTGTGCCATTTTTGTTGCAGACTATGGAGCAGGTTTTTGTCTTCATACTCTGACTCACAGAGAGTAAGGCTTTTATTAAAGGAAAAACAGATGGTCTATGTTGCAGGCGTTTCAATATCAAAATGAAACAGTTCAGGTTTCAGTTAGAAAATGGAACTGAGCACTGTTAGAAAACATTTTCATTTTTTACATTGTTGCCACATTAATGCTGTTCTGTCCAAATACTCCCACAACTCCAGAAACGTTTGATGGTGCAGATTGGTGAATATGACCTCTGACCTCTTCAGATGTCAAAGAAGTTCCTAATCATACCTCATATCTGCTAATTAGTACAACTGCCACCTGTCAATGCTATGTTTTACCCCTTTCCAAAGAGGAAAGTTCTGCCTTCTCCTGCTGCTGATCATTACCTCCTCGAGGTATGTTTCACACCTTCAAGGGAGTGGTGGTTCTGTTCATGAAAACTGTTCCTACCTGAAGGAAGAGATTATTCATCTAGTGATCCGAAAAGACAAAGAAAGGGGTCCCAGAGCTTGAATTGTTGTTACTTATTTTTGTTCAACACTTTAGTCTGTTCCCTGTTTAAGTATTCAAGTGACCTCTTCCTCCATGACTATGTCAACCAGGGCTACTGCTGCACTTCTCACCACCACACTGCTATTTCCTTCAAACACTGGAGCAGTGGGAAAAGAAAAAAGAGCTCCAAGAGGCAAGTTGCCACAGGAAGAGTGAAGTTGTTGGAAATGTGATAATAATGCTCCATGACTGCTCCCTGCAAGCAGCTTGGCCTTGCAGCTGTAGGTGTCTGTGATCCATAATCTGCGAGTTCTCTCACCAAAAGTCATTGTGTAGTTGTTCCTATTGTTGACTCTGACTGAAGGTCCTGCCTTGTATTTTTTGCTATCATCCAGTGTCTGTGAGAAGCCCTTGGAAGTTTTTTGGCTGTTGCTACAGAGCAATTAGATTTGTCTGAAAGTGTGCTTAAGAAGAAAAGCAAAAGGGGAAGCTATGAAGTACTGATGTATGGGAAATAGTTTTGCATGAGAATCAAACACAATGAGAAAAAAGAAAGGAGGATTGTAGAGAATTTCCATTTCACTAAGAGGACTCAACAGGTGTTATGGCCTTAATTTTCAGCTGTTTTCCTTTGGTTAGACACAGGTGGGACACTGTCTGTTCTTTTGGGAGTACCATATGCACTGTAGACCCTATTAAAATGTAATAATACTCTGTGTCTCTGTGCCAGGTGATGCAGTACTTCCAATCTCAAGCTTGGATTCGCATGATAACATTTATCTTTCTATTTTTCTAACAATCAAATAACAGAGAGCACCACCAGCAGGGTCTGGGATATTCTTTCAGGGAAATGCAAACAAAATTGCTCAAATTCAGCAACTCTTTGTTATATTAATTTGCCATAGCATGTTAGTAGTTCGAATGTAGCTCTTTGTAGATGATTTCTACTGTTGCATACTGTTGCATTGCTGTATCTGGCAGAAAAAAGTTGCAGAAAAAGCAAAATTCTACTTCTTGTAGCTGAAACATTAGTAAATAGCACAAGCACTAGCAGATGACCTCCTAGCGAAACAACAAACTAGTATTTTTATTTTTGTTTTTAACTCTAGTACATGTGTTTCTGAGAAATTTGTCCCTATAAGCTGACCAGGTTAGAAGAATAAAATACAGTAATGGTATACGGCAAGCCACTCTGCACTGACTTTACAGTTATAGTTAAATTCCATGTGTTTATATTTTAATGGTGTCAATGTGATGTTTATTACTGTTCAACGCTAACTAAGTTTTTTTCCCCCAAGCTAAGGTCTCCTACGGATCATTTTGACCAGCTCTGAAATAAGAAAATGCAACCTGAATGACACAGGCACTGGTTAATTAAATGTGAGCTGAACACCCAGAACTAGACTATATATTTTACTTCATCGTGTAAAGATCCTTAGACAGTGCTATTTGATTGTACAGATTTCTAAAGACTGACATACCATAAAAGCCTTTTTCCACCTGATGTGGACTTGGCATTACTAATACAGATGCTTTTTTTTTTTTTTTTTTTTTTTACAGACACTGATAACATGTGGAAAAATTTGAAAACACATCTGTGATCCACAAATTAGAATCAAAGTTCCCCAAGACATGGAATCCTAGTCTGCTTAACTGAGCCACAAAATTTGGCTCACCTGGATGTTGTGTTTCAGCCCACCCCTCTCTGCTGCTTAGCTAATAAGGAAGCGTGTGCCTCTTTTGAGTCCTAGTGTTTTATTTCTTGCATGAATGAAACCGATCCTCAGAATTTAGGAGTGCCACGTTGTAACTGGAACAGGGTTTAAAAAGGAGAGTCCTAATTCATTGTGAGTTAGTTGAAAGTCTTTTTAGGGGAGATAATCAAATATAACTCAGCAATATTTTGCAGTGAAAGAAACACCATCAAAAGTAACACTTGGACAATTTTTTTTCATATTGCGGTTCTGATTGTCTTTTTTAAAACATCACAGAGTACTTAAAGGACCGTGACAGATAAATGCAGTCTTTAAAACTACTCATGCATTCTTAATGGACAGCTTGTTAATTTGAGGTCTAGGTCATGAATTTGAATGCCACTCACTAAACACTTCTTTGTCAACAAAAGCTAGTTTTCCCTTAGGGTAAATTGTAACTCATTAATTGTAATTAAATTAAACATATGCGACAACTAGAAAACCTAGAATACATTCAGTGAGGAACACTGGTACAGCAATCTGTGGCTGAGTTCTGGGATGTTCAGGTTTTTTGCCAGTGAGAAGAAAATAAAGATCTGTAACTTAATGATAGCCTCAATAAAGATGGCAAGAAACTATCTTGCCTATTTAAAAATTGTTTTATTATTTTCCTGTTGGATATTAATATAAAAAGGTATATAAATATTACATTAGCAATAAAAATCAGGGTTTCTAACTTTTCAGGTTTGAGCCAAAAGTCATAATTCTCAACGTATTTTGTATCCTTTAAATCAACCCTAAGAGGATGTAATTTTCCATCTGTATTTATGTTTACAGTAGTGATTAAACTGTTTTAACAGCAGATGCCTTTGTACTTGGAATCGCTGTATAATCCATCCTCAGGTCCTGAGGTAAATCAGTTTGGTTGTCAAAGATGTGTCCCTAATGGGCAATGGTCCACATCACATAGCTATCACGTAATTGCCACTATTTGGCATATTTGGCAGTTCCTATTAGGAGAGGCCCAGCACTGAGCTTGTACACTGAAGCGTTACATCATCACAGATTGGACACCAAGAAACAAGAGCTGCGATGAAAACCATAAACTGGTTTGTACTTTTTGTTGGTTTTTCATTTGTTTTTGGTTTTGGTGTTTTTTTTTTTTTAGTTAAAATGTGGATGCAGATTTTTTTTATTCTGGTGATTTGCAGGCTTTTATCACTTGTCTGCACATCAAAGATTTCTCTAAGTATCCGACTTTTTTTTTAAATCCATTTCCTTTTTTTTTCATGATCCTTTTTTTAAAAAAAAGAAAACAGTTTGCTAAAACTATTTCAAATTCATGAATCATATGTTATGCTTTGGTGGGAAGAAATGCTTTCACTAAACTGCTTAGCCCACTTTAGTACAAAATGTATCAGTGTGCTACAGTCTGATACATGAGGAGAGAGTGAGCTGCTGTGCACACTGTCTTCAGACACAGAAACTGCGGATGTGATTTGAACTGTAAGTGGTTAATGTAGAAGACTGAGGGCATTCAGAAAGAGTAGATAACTGACCTTGTATTATTTGTTCAGCTGAGATATGTGCTTATAAAAATTCAGTTAACATGCTCTCTGCAGCTTCCTAGCTGCAAATCTGTTGGGAGCACATGTCTCTATTTAAAACGTGTGTTGTTTAGCATCACTATTTGTATCAAAATCCCCACTGTGAATAGTCAGGTGACAAATATTAAAGTGGGGAACCTTGTATGAGCAGGAGTGCTAGGCCCCTTTGAATGTGTATGGTGAATGTTAAAAGGAGTTTTGGGGAAAGAAATACCTCACCTCTATCTGATGTTATGATTTACTCACGAGAAACCTAACAATGTGTTATTAATGAACACCACAGTGTTGCAGTTGGGTGAGATTTACATGAAAATTAACCCATGAAATCCCGCATGTAAGGCTTACTAATTTTACAACTCTAGGATACATCTCACCTTTATCACTGACCCAGTCCTGGAGAAAAGTGTCTTAACAGCAATAAAGATACAGCATTTCTAAAAGTTCTGATTCAAAGAGGCAACCTGACTAACAGACTGCCAGCACTGTAAAAAGTGTTTGGATCTCTCCCCATTGTACAAAACGCAAGCTACTCTGCAAGCAATATGAGTACATGGGAAATGCAAACTCCCAAAGAAGGATGAAAAGCAGAGGGAAACAGGAAGATAAGTGTCGGGTTTGTTTCCTTCACTGGATTTAGAAACCTAATCTTGAAAAAAAAGCCATTGCCTGGGAGCTAAGCAAGCTTTAATGGACATGCTGGCTTTGTCACAAATTGTTCCTCAGGTCTTGGAGTTAATAAACCCAACTACCACAGGGAGTTACTCTTCCCTACTTCCAGTCACAAAATAGAAGCACTTAAATAATACAGGAATGATGGCTACAAGAGTAAGCCATTATTTACCTCCTGCAACAGAGTTCAGCATTAACTACTTTTTCTTCATTTCTTCTTGTTTTCTACTTACTTCCTATTCATGTCAAAATCCTTTCTGAGAACTAGCTCTTTAAGATCTGCAAACCACCTTTTACTAACATGTAAATGCAGGCTGCAGTGGAATTTTATACATGTCAATTTCACAACAAACCTGTGAAATTATTTGTTCTGCCCTCTGTATTTGGCTAAATTTTCCCTTTCTCCATCTGCAATCAGTGTCCTGTTGACTCAACTCTGTCATCTGTCTTACACATTCTGTGTGTGACTGGCATATCTATTTTGCTTTCTCAGGTGTCATAAGGTGCATTATTGCTACGGAGTACACATTTACTTGCTTTGTTCACCATAGTTTTTTTCACTGATTTACTACTTCATGAAGACAAATTGCTTTCCAAGCCCTGACTTTTGTATTCTCAGTTGTGTCCTCTCTGGCTATCAAAACACAAGAGAGAACTCCCACCTCCACTGAGCTATCTTGTATTCAGTAACTCTAAATCTGTGGGAGCAGTGATCAGGGGTGTGGTAAGTACTAATGCATATAATGTGAGGCTTTGCCTTGATGCTTGACCTCCTCTGGAAAGCAGATAAATGAAGAAAGTGCTCCCCAAAGTTCTCTGTGTCCCATTTAACTGAAAGCTGTACAGCAAATTCTGACCTTGACCGGACACAGATTTAAATCCATTAAGCCCTTTTCCCAAACCCCAAATTTAGCCATTCTATACCGTAACATTTAGCACTGCCTCTTGACCACAGCTCCTTACCTTCCTACTTGGCCACAGATCACTTGATCACATTGGCTTTTGTTACCAGAAGTAACTTCTACCCATAAAACTATGTTGTGCAGTTGGGGCACAATATAAAATTTAGATTTGAGTCCAATTGGCTTTGTTTTTTATTGATGTTGTGAAGAAAGGTTAAAATTGGGCAGGTACTTTTTCTATCTGGTCATCCCAAGAAAACCCTTTCTTTACCTCTGTAAATACCAGACATCCCACAGCAGGTATCAAGTATCAAGCTATGTGTAATTATCCCATGATGACAGTGATCACAGCTTTATCACTGTGGTCACAAGAAAATTATGGAGGCTCAATAAGTGCAGACGAAATACACCTTGCTGGCACCCTTGAGGGGTTGCTTGTGACCAGAATCTAAAGTCAGGAAGGGCTGCAGTCGCAACCTTCTCTCATTATTCCAATCCAGTCAAATTCTTCCTCTCCTTACGGACAGATTGTGGAGAGAGGGCAGCTGTGCCACTGTTTCTGTTATTATTTAATAATTGTACAATCTTCCAAAAATGTGAAGAATGGGAAATCATCATTAGAGTAACTAAAAAAGAAAATTGGTCACACTGACAGAAAGTACTGAGATAAGTAATGCATCTTACTCACAGGTTAGCGTTATCTTGCTTGGGGGATGTCAGCTCCTTGGCTGTCTGGCTGTATGATTGCCACTGTTAAGATCTGTCAACTACCTGTGATTTGATGAATTATGTGAATGCTGGGCTTCTTCATAAAATGAAGTTTCATATAGATGCATCAGTGCCATTGGAGATCATCGCTAGGCTGCTCCTCTAGTGCAAGCATATCCTGTCCAAACAACCAGATAACATGTTAGGGAAATCAAATTTCAATGGAGAAGATGTCGGTGGTTTCTATGTCTATAGTAAGTCTGGAAAGTTATTTGTAACCAACAGCATTAATATTTCCTTTCTTGTGTCAAGAATTGATGGCACTGTATTTGTGTGTGTGTAGGTTTTTACTGCTTCTCATGTCAAGAACCCCTGTGTATCTTGGCAATTTCAGACAAATTTAATGTTTTTTTTTTTCACTTGCTTATTTTAGTACTGGGTAACCCCAAGATCAGTCTGTGGAAAATGAAATTATTTCTGAACATGCAAAGAGAGTACAAGAAGCCATATCTTCGGCAGTTTTAACAGTGATGTAGCAACAGCTGCTCATACTGTCCTATAATGATGATGAATGGGATGTTAAAAAGCTTCATCCTCACAAAGAAAGTGGAGCAGAAAATTCTGTATCATATCAAACAGGAAAGTGCCTTGGTGAGATGGCCTGTAGTTGCTGGGTGCTGATTAACGTCACCTGTAGGCACAGGTGGAATCCCCTCAACAATGTATCCCTAAACATCAAATGCTTTACAAAGAATCACTTCTTAAAGCCACAGTAAAGTAAAATGATTAAGGTTAGCTAAATACATTCACTGCGCTCACCTGGAGGCCCACACCTGTGCCAGCACTCTGAGGCCCTGTGGGATGGTGTGGGTCGTGAAGTGTGAGTGTGGCAATGCCATGTTCTGGATGGCCCCAACCAGCTCCTCTCAGCCTCTCCTCTCCCCCATCTCAGGGCTTTGTGTCAGCTTGCCCTGCCTCAGCCTTGCTAGTATCCAGCTATGACTCAGCCCTGGCTCAATTTCCCGCCACTGCACCACAGCCTCCCTGAGGGGACTGAAAGCACCCAGCCTGAGGCCCTGCACTGAGGTAGAGCACGTAGTTCTGGTGTGCGTGTTGGGCAGGCCTCAAATCACCTCATCTTTGGAGGAGGGGAGAAAAGGCACTGAAAAGCTCAGTGCTGGCAGCAGCTGGGCTTGTTTCATCTGCTGGTTTTAAGAGAGACTGCACAAGTGCTGTGACAAATCCTGACTGAGCTGTTAGAGAAAACCTTAAATATTCTCAGTAATAGGAACCTCTTCCTCAGGTGGCGCTGATTTGGGCCATGGGAAAAGGATTGGCACACACTGCATGCAGCTGCCTCACCTCACAAGATGGAGAGGCAGTGCTCCACATACATGGATCCTGCTCTTACCTCTTTCCATAAGCAAAGAGCGGTTGTTGTGTCCTCACATGAAAAATCGAATGGACTTGCTCCAGAAGGCCGTGTAAGCTCAGCTTTTCCCGCTCGCTCCTGCCACAGCCTGGGCTGTTCATCTTCCCAGGAGGCCATCGTGACTGAAGTGAGCAGCGGCCTCTTGTTTCCTCTGTGCCGCAGACAGAGCTCTATCCATGTAACGTATGAGCTTTCTATAGTGGACATAATGACTCTGAGACAGAAAAAGAAATACTTCAAGGAGCCATGCTGACAAAAGAAGATGGATAAAAGGCACCTTGCGCCTTTCTGTGACAGGCTGCATAAGGACACTTGAGCTGAAGTGGCAGGTGGTACCTG